TAGGCCTTAATATTTACAGAGTATCTACTGTAAAGAAAAGAAAAAAAAAGGCAAAGTCAATATATTATAAGGCTTCTATGCATCTTTCTTCCTCTAAAAACCTTTTCATTGGGCTATGTAATATAATAGGTTAATGAGCTAAATTGTTGACTGAGGAACAGATGTTGCATGTTTTAGCTTCTGCCAACAAAACTGGAAATGCATCCTTGTGAAAATCTGCACTAACGATGTAGTTAGTGTATCTTGCTTGTAACCATGCCTTCCTTGACATAATACCAGCTAAAAGAAGAACAGCCAAAGAAGTGAAATGGGGAACTCTGAACCATTTTGTGCTTTTGGCTTGAAATAGAATACTTCAGTCACAAGACACAAATAGAGTATGTTGAGGCACATAAAACAGAGAAACAACTAAGTACAGCTGGAAATGAAGAAAAATCCATAAAAGTCTTCTGGAAGATTACTCCTGCTCTGTAATCTCACCTTGTCAGTTATACCTTAGAAGAGTCCATAAGCCAACTGGAGAAAAGGATCTGAAAAGATACAGTGTTAGCTTGCACATCTGCCCCTAGGTGATTTACCTGCTTTGTCATTCCAAGATTAGAAGGGGAAAGTGCTGAAGACAGAGTGGGGAGGCCTGTGTAGCTAAAAAACAGTCCCCAGTGCTGCATCTTCGAGCACAACTGCTCTTTGTCACTACCACAGCTAGCTGGTCCATCTAGGCTGTACCTCATCTCCCTGCAGCACGCCAGCAACACACTCCCAAAGCATCTGGGACATCTGGTTCCACTGCAGGAGTCACGGCAGACTCCAGCACAACTCACAGTCCTGCAGCCTCGAGCACATGAGGAGCACAGACACAGACAGTGCATCCTGCAAAGCGATCGAGACAGCCACATTCTATCCACCAGCTACCTGCATGCTTTACGGGAATGTAATCCTTGACCTGAAGTTTGCCAACAAAACACAACTGATCGTGAAAGAATGAACTACTATCTTGTTAATGCATTGGAGGCATAGTTTCAGCAGCTTAGGAATCTGAGGCAAGAGCTGGGAAAGCGAGCGATCTATGGCTGTTCTTTTGACCAGCACAACTACAACAAAAATGTGAAAATGTTTCTAGTGCTACAACCTTTAACAGCTCAGATTTCAAACACGCAAGAAGTATTGCAAAGCTGAAAGTGTATGAGATGTTTGTTTCTTTAACTGAGTACAAACTGGATGTGGAATTTCCTTTTGGAAGAAAAGACTGAACGGGAGATGACTTGGATTCCCATTTGTGTATTGCATCATACAAAAAAAAGAAAGGATGATATAACGAACTGCAATTCTAAAGAATCCAGGCAATAGTAAAAAATAATTTCAGGTTAACACCTTCAGTGGGTCTCTCACTTTAAAATCTGCCTTTCTGCTAGGTTTGAAGACTTTCAGACCAGGAATATTTTTGTTATGCTGTTCATACTAATGCTGCATTTGTGTAAATGATAAAAATAAGATTCTTTTTGTTAAGAATGAAAAAGTTGAAAGTTTAGGAATGCTAGCAAGTTGGAGGTTATCATGGTTACTAGTAACAGAACAATATTCTGTCTTTACAAGTACATTAGATAGTATGTCAATCTCAGGCTTTGGACTAACAAAGGTAACCTCAAAGAAATTTAAATAACATCACAAACCTGAACATATGTGTTTGCAAAGCAAACTAGATATATCAGCTCCCTGTGGCACAATTCAAAGAAACTGCAAGTACACTGGGAACACACAGACAGCCCAGACTGACTGCAAAATCCAGTCCATTAGCTCCAAATCCCTGCATCTTCTGAATGGAACATATCTAAAATCTGACATAGGATAAGCGTGTCCATCGCTGTCAGCTATAGCAGTTCTTGTTTGTGTCTGTGATCTCATGACTGAAGGCATTCTTAGTAAAGCTCTGGGGAGCTCCTTAGGCAAGTCTTCTCATGCACAGAGCCTATGTGTTCTATAAATGCCTCTACTGCTCCTCTGACAAAAATAGGAGTCTGCCCCTCAGAGAGCCCATTCTATTTATGTTGTATCCAGACATGGATTTTTAATGAAGTTTTGCCTCTTTCCTACAAGACTTTGGGATATACTCAAATGATCTTAGTTTGGGATAGCTCAGGATTGAATGCCAAGGCAGCATGCAAGTTGTCTGCATAAAAAGCATCTGTCCCTCCTTCTATCCTGTGGTAATTACTACTGATCATTCAATCTTGCTTCCTTGATGATTCTTAATAGAAACAAATCCACAATGCAGTTAATCGCAAAAGGTCGTTGCTTGTTCTGAGATCAAGCTGTAATGGTAGAAAATGTTTCCATCTCAGCACAAAGCTCTCTCACAGTGATTTTTATAGCACTGGCAAAACAAGAACTAAACAAACAAGAAAACAAACAACCAAAAAAAAAAAAACAAACCCAAAAATGTTCTACAATGGAATTTTAACCTGGAATTGTGAATTTTAAGGAGTTTGCTATAATTTGACTTTAGAAGACTGTATGTTTCTCCTTAATGGTCAAATTGTTTAAGCCAGCCAACACCAGAAAGGAATTGCTGATAGTGTAAAGGTTCTTCTCCTATGTCTGAGCCCTGCATTAAAGCTTCTGGATCCTGAAAATCAAAATCCTGACTGGATCTGCAAAGAATTCCACACTAAGTATTTCAGCTATCTGGGTTTCGGAGGTAATAAACTTTCTCAGAAGAACTATATCTATCCATACCTTTCTTAAGCCATTCAGTGATGCTTTTTGTTCACCTCTCTACTCAGAGGATAACAATCTAATTGTGTGATCCAAGTCTTCGTGTCATTAACCAAGACGTCTAGAATTTTTAATGTTCATTATAAACCAAATCTAAGTCCAAGAACATCTGCTGAATTTGCACAGGGTGAAATTCCTGGGAAGCTGAGAGTTGGCACGTGTTCTCTGCAGGCAGAAGCAGACCACATAAACAGCACACAAACTTCTGTGCCCTTCTGCACAGAGAAGATCCTGATCCCAAGTTAAGAATTGCAAATAATGAGTGATTTTGCACAGAACTTGCACTGCTCATATGCAGAGACTAAATCTATCAATGCTATTTACTGTGACCAATGCATGACTGCAGCCTTTCTAGCAATGAGCCAACTTCTTTATCAGATGGGAAGCATTCATACAGTACTGAACTTTCAATCCATGTAATCAGTGAATACATGATTATTTCATATTCCTCCTATAAAGAGAATCCGGGTCAATTCTTCTGCCAAAATCTCTTAAAATTCCACAAATAAATAAATAATGTTATTTCACCTGTTAACACAGGAACTGTTTATTTTGGCCAAATTGTGTGGATTCTGTGTGCCAAGTTATAAATAAAATAACATTCAATACTCCAAACATTCTGTGATACAAATTCCTGGCTCAGCATAAGTACAGATCTTATGCCTATGGCTGGCTCTTAAATCACGCTCCAGCACTGACACCATTAAATTCATGCATCTCTGACACGGTGTATCTATAAATATTTGTAATTCCCAATCGTAATGCAAAAAATACAATTGCAGATAAGCCAATTTGCCCATCATGGGCCTCTGCTTCAGTGGATTTTGCTTGCTGGAGTTTGGGTTTTTGGAAAGCAAAATGCAACTACTGTATCCCAGTGGTTTCTGCACATGCCGTACATTCCAGAACAAAAGTAGGCCTTCTGTTTCAAGAGCAGAACAGTTACAAAGATAAGATAAAACCAAACTGGAATATAATATTCCTGGGAAATTTCAAGGCTTTATACAAACATGAAGTTGGTAATGTAAAGGATGTGTTATGAACAACACTGGCAAAGGCTGAATTTCTTATACTGCTGGGCTTCCTTCCCAAGCAAAACTACCTGCTACTTTAAGATCAGAATGCAAATACAGAGCAGATTCTGCACTGGTTTAATCCACTGCACATAGGAATTAATTCCACTGATGTCACCAGAGAAACTGTGTTCAGACAGATCTAAATGAAAGTGAAATCCAGCCCTAAGGAAGGGACTGATGGTTTTGGCTCTGCCTTTAAATAGAGGGCAAACTTTCATCTCAGATGGCTGAATTAAGTGAAGCACTGGACTGTGCTGTGTAGGTCTCAGAATAGCATGAGTTGTACAGCTGTAGTTTTGCATCTGTGGTAATAAAATGGTATACCATCAGACTCTGAAAGCAAAATCTGCATGAGAAGGGCAAACAATTCAGCAGTGTGTGCCGTCAGTTAACCTTTGTCTCTGTGAGAGTTTGCTAAGGCTTCCACATTCTACTTAATAACAGTTCTCCCAGACCCTCAAACTCACCACCTGTGGAACAAGAGGTATAAGGCTCAGCTCTCAGCTGAGTACTGATGCTTTGAGGGAGACAAAACTTTCATCACATCTTCTCTTCGTGAGATTTCTCTTTTTCTCAGTGACTAGGTTTCTAATTTGAAGTCTAAATACTTAACTGATACACATACTTGAAGAAAGAAAACATCTACTATTTTCCTTTCAGGCTGCCCAGGCTGGGCATGCGATTCCCGCTTAACTCCCTGAAGTCCTGGCAGATACTGTTAATGAACTTCTTTTCGTAGAAGTCAACCTGTTAGCCAGGTCGATTTGGAGCTGGCTTTTTGAAACATGTAAAACAGTTCCAGCACTGCTCATGAAGTGGCCTTTTAATGCAAAGAGTTGAGTTGATGGATGAATTTTGGCCTGTGGTGAGAATCTTCATTTTTAGGGTGGAAGTTGTGTGGGTTTAGCCGTTGAATGGATAAGATGTCCATTAATACTCATTTTGAACCTGTTTGTTGACATATCCACAAGCCTCTGTTGCAGTATTTGGGTCACAAGTGGCATAAAGGGAAAGTTTAAATCCCAGCAAAAAACATCAATCAAAAGCTTCCGTTCAAAATATTTAAACTGCAGAACACACTGCACATGGAAGCACAGCATACTGAACATCTTTGGATTTAGAGAGAAAATACCGTGCACTGCTCACTGGTACCTTAGACCAATCGCCTGTTTTCCATTCATAACAGCCTGTGTGATCCTCACATTCTTCCTCATCTCTTGGCCTGGTGGCTGCATCACATTTGCCTTGAGAATTTGTACACGTTACTGTCCTTTTTTGGATCCCTTTGCCACAGTCTGCTGAACACTGCAAAACAACAGGTATGTTTTATTATTTCTAGGAATCATGCAACAGAATTTTTATTTTTGTAACATATCTAAAAGGAAAGCTTAGTTTTATGCACACAAAACCTGATAACTTGCAAAATTTTCCCCCAACAACTGAAACCATTTTCAAACATGATTCGTCTGAATAATATGAGATACACTTCTGTGATCTTTTACTTGTGAAAAATAGCATTGTGCTAGAAATGGTGTTACTGAATAACTAAATCTTGCATTTAAGAGCTCATTATTCATAACAGAACTGCCATATACCTTTGTGTATCACAGGAGTACAACAATGACAAAAAATGCACTTTATGTAGCAGGAGATTGTGGTTACAAAACCACCTCTGCAGTACTGTTTGTATGCACCCTGGTGAATTCACTGCTCTCACACATGTTCTCATGTGCACACGTGTGACCTTCACTCTTTGAATTGCCACCTCCTCATCACCGCGATGTTAATTTCAAAGAACTTGAAGTGTACAAAGCAGATCGCTCAGCAGAGACACCACTCAGTGAACCACAGAGCTGTCATCACCTTCTGGCCTTGGCCAGCAAGCTGCCCACATTCATCAGCAGGTACAAAAGATGGGCCCCTCAGCATCAAAAGCACAACCAGGGGCTGTGGGAATGCAGCAGGCTACTAGGGCTGCTAGGATCAGTTGCTGGTGAAAGACTTGATTATGGGCACTAGTAACAAACATCCATGCAAGTGAGCAAATATTGTCCACAAATATTTTAATGCTTAGATGCTGTTATTTAGGCACTTTGAAAAAGTAGAAATAACTGGTAGCCCATTTGCTATCTCTGACAACAGTTGACTGGAAATTCTGTTTTACTGGTGAATTTGTCTTGACTGTAACAGGTGGGAAAAAGACACTGTTGTGAACTGAAATGGAGAAACGTTTTAAATAACCAGTTCAGTCACAGGTTAATAGATCTACCAATGCTGATACAGCCATCTGTGTGCATGCTACTACACAGCAGCACAGCTAGTCTCTCTGCTCTTCATTTTCATGCCACTGCAGGGGTTAGGAGTGAGAAATTTTCTTAAAGAGCCACTGGGGACAGGTGGATGGAAAAATGATATATGTATGAACTGAGATAAAAACTAACCTTCTCTAGCATGTCAAGTTCTCCCCTTTAGGGGATCAGCACGGAAAAAGACAGTTGAGTTGACACTGAATAAATACTGAAGATACGAGATATTCTGTGAGGTCTTTTGAACATAATCCAAGAAGCTTCTCCATCCAGGGGGTCTATGCTGGAAACAAGTGTCAGCTTGATATAAATTACATCAAATGGACAAATCTCAGCATGCCTGTCTAATCGTCTTAAAAATACAATCCAGGCAGTTCTGACCTGCTGGCCTTGTTAAGGACATGAATGACAAGCGTTTATGAGCTGGCAAGCAAACAGACGTGCCTTTAAATACTTCAGAGCACTACAAAGTGACTTCTTGAAAATCTGGGAAGCCTTCCACTTAATTTACTACGTGCTGCTCATGGCATGACCGCCTTACGGATGTAACATCTTTGTAACAAGCACAATTGTAGAGCTGTGCTAGATACCAGGATGAATTCTTCCAGGCTTTGCACAATTCCAGAAACTGCTTTGCTGGAATCCTCAAAATGCACGAATTGCCAGAGAGCCAACACCGGAGCTCCTTGAACAGTACCTTAAAGCCACGAATTTGCCCTAAGCAGTACAGATTTTCCCATATAAACTATAATTTTCCGCAGCTCTCAGGGTGGACTCCTTGGGGTTGCTTTTGTTCGTCTCAAACTATAAAGAACAATATATAAAATAATTCAAACGGTCCAATTTACTGAAAGTAAATCAAACTGAAGCAGGAGTATTTTTCACAGTATGAGAATCCTCTAGGTGGGTTGTACAACTGAGTTTGGGAAAGACACGAACTGTTGATTCTTCCCAAAGCTTTTAAGTCATTCGCAGATCAGTATTGCATTTACTTTTCCTAGACAAAAGGTTCCCAACAGGTCTTTGGTTGTCACATATAAATCATTCCCTTTTAGAGGTTTTTTTTGTTCAAGTCCTCTGTCATCGTGATTTTTTTCTCATGCATAGATTTTACACAGATTCTAAAACAAGACAGTCTACTAGGAACCCCCTTAGTGTCTACTTTAGATGATCAGGTTTTATTTTATTAGCAAATTATCTATTCGAATCCCACAAAGTTTTGTAAAGGAGTATCACAACTTTGCAGTTAAGATATGACTCTTTTATTTGAAGGAAATCCATTGTTTTTTTCTACTCAAGTTCCCTAACAGCAGAAGCATTCACCTTTTTGTGACAGTCTCTATTTCTGTCATTAAAAATGGATTAAGTGGTACTTTGTCCAAAATAATCTCAAGTGTTTGGCAATAAAAGTGGAACTTAATTTTTTCCACACTGAAGACTGCAATGGAATTTGCTTTGAGAACACACATTTTTGATTGGGGACCAGACACCAATGTGTTCAACTGTTTTTGTTGTATAACCAGAAGTTCAAAAACACACACAAGAAAATTGATTTATAAAATATTATTACTTCTATGATATTTTTCCCACAATATTAGAACAAAATGAGTTACATAGTCACAAATACAGAAGATTTCCAGTTCATAAAAAACCTTCTGTAACATGACTTAGTCCAATTAAAAACAAAAACACGGAAGTACCTAACATTGAAAAAAGACCATGAACACTCCAACGACAAAATTCACCCTGTAAGGCAGGTAGGAGCTGCAGTGAGAAGACTAGTCTGCTACATACACTGCTACAGCTCACCTTGTATAGCTATAAGAAATAAAAGGAGCATCATCTGAAAGGTTTATTTTTGTAACACATGAAAGACGTATCAGAGAAATTATTAAAAATCAATGTATTTCTCCACATCTTTTCAAATCAGGTAAAAGAATCTAATGCATTAGTGAACAGGTACAGCTGAAAGGAAACACTACTCTCACTTGAGTGTTTCACTTGCCAAGCAAAGATTTTCTGTTCAAAAGGTGGACAATGGATCCACACTGTGTTTTTGTTAAGAGACACTGTTCTTCAGTGCCAGGTCCCTGGTATCTTGTGTGCTGTGACTTTTCTAACAATAATATTTTGCAAAAGATCTTTGACAATGCTTTAAACAGGAGCTCACTGTTTCAAAATAGAGACAAAAAACAATGAAATATCCTGCCCACAAAAATGCCCATTTCTGGACAGACTTGTAGCACAGCCAGGCTGTAATGAGACTGGTAGCGACATACATACTGCACCAATACTGACATCATCTTTTCATTGCTCAGATCAGCCTAACAGATACAGCACCAAGTCTGACATGGAAACCCTATTAGAACCATTACTCACAAGGTACAGGCAAGGTTACCATGTACTTGCTGAGTGCTTCTCATGAACTGTAAGCATGCTCCTGGTTCACTCTGTTGCTAAACAAAGTGAAGGCTGTCCAGATGACACTTTGTTAATATGTGAAATGGATTTATAGTATCTGAGAATAACTTCTTAACTCTCTGCAGCTACATGGAGACACACAAGAAAGCAAAGTATAACCAGCTTTTCTATGTTCCTGGAATTACACAAAAGAGGGTTGGACAAGGCCCAAAGACTGTATATTCTCTGCAACATGCAGCTGTTTGATAAATATGGTATTTTGTTTCATACCACATTTAAGCAGAGCCAGAAGATCTGTTAGGTTCCTACACTTCCAGCTGTAGGTCAGAGAAATGTTTTTCCTTGGTGGTCAGACTTTTCAGATGGAAAGATATAGTTAACATAGCACGATATCTAATACTTGCCTTAATAACTCATCTGGTATGTGATACAAACCTCAGCTTAAACCTAATCATTTCAACAAAAACCAATCCTACCTAGTGCCTCAGTACTGCAAGTTACCAAGTGTGCTGACTGTGAGAATGTGCTTAACTTCAAGCTCTTAGCTAAATTAGGGCAGCGTATCCAGAACTGTGTGCTGTCTGGCTTCTCTCTTGGGCCAAATTCTTACCTTTGACCACTCTGATGCTTCCCAAATTGAGAGGCAGTCCCGTCCTTCACAGCTTTGTACTGTTGCTGGTTTGTTGCCAAGGCAGTAGAGGTCTCTTGTGTTAACATAGGTGCCATTTTGCAGCTGATAAACACAAGTCACTTCCCGATGCTGGATGCCTTTCTCACAAGTGGCAGAGCAGGGACTCCAATGGCCAGTCACCCACCTGGGAAGGAGACAGAGAGGGAATATTAAAAAAAAAAAAAAAAAATAATAAAAAAGTAGGATAAAATATTGCACTTAACCTGAAAACAGAGAAATAAGAAACTGGCAACTCTTCCTAGGTTTGTGGGTTCTCCAATGTTGCTGTACTGCTGTCAGACTGAGATCTGGCCTGAAACGTGCAGAGCAGAAAGGGGCTGTGTACAAGTGAATATCTGCTCTTGGCTCCATGCTAGACAGAAACACCATTCATAGAATTAGGGACCTTAAAAATGGGGAATAATTGCCTATGGCCATTGTTAGCAAATTTGAATACTATTTAACTGCTCAATAAATACTTAAAAATACAAGATTACTCCACTAGAAAGGAATCTGCAACACTGATTCAAAGCTGCCATAAGGATGTACCATAACACAAACTGAATGGGAGTGGGGGATACTTACCTTTAACCATCATTTTTCTGAGCTTTGGGATTCATTCACTTTGTAAGCACATTTCAGTTGCCATTTGCTTTCCCTTTGATCAAATGTGCTGGGAACAAATACACGAACAGCGTTTCGGTTTGTTTGTTTGCTTTGTTTTCTCTTTAAAGGCTCACAATGCTGTGAGTTGTTTGGGTTCCTCCCAGTATAAGGGACTGCTGCTATGAGCAGACCCTTGCTGTGGCCATGCATCCTTCTAGCTCAGTGTAAGGCTGACTGAAAGGCTCCATAACAAGATGCTCTGGCAGCATCACTGTGGTTAAAAAGCTGGCCTACGTGGCAGTGGATAAAATGTCTGCGAAGAATCTGAATTAGGAGGTATATAGAGAGGAACAATTATTTCCTAAAGACAAGCAGCATTCATCTTCATGCCTCCTGTAATCTGTCAATGAGGAACATCTCTTTGTAATTACAGGCATTCCTGGATGAAGCGAATGATGGGAACAATAATTGTAGGCACTAGGCACCGGAAGGCTATCATCATCAGGTAATTGACCTTCTAGCCTGTTATTTAGGACTGTCATCTGGATTAGCATCCTAATACCATGAATCTTTTACTTGTCACCCAATCCTGGGTTGCCTGTAATGACAAGGACCAAAATAAGAACATTCAAATATAAAAGCTTGCTTAGAAATATTGTTTCATTTTACTGAAGTTTCCAGTAGTCAAGATAGAGCAACACACAACACCTTACTAGTCACACTTCTTTTGAATTTGCTCCATAATGCCTCAAAAATCTAACAATTCTTTCTCTTTCTGACATTTGTGAGTGGGGAAAAATCATTTCAAAACAATGTGCAGAAACATCCTCATTTGGTGCAACTGGCGTGAATTCATTTGCCAGCTGCTGTGACTGGTGACCTGCTGAGACAGCACTGATGACAGCAAAGGCAGAAACCAATTAGTTTGAGCAGAACAGCATCAGGAAGGCTGGCCACCTGTCTTTTGTGGAACAGAGCCCCATTCAAATGTTTCTTTGCAGAAAAGCAGTTGACACATTTGTGAATTTCTGTTGGCTAAAGCAGCTCGCAAACTACCAAACATATTCTCTAGACAGTCATTTTGGTGCATCACTGTGGCTGAGTACTTGCTATTTACTTATGGAATGGGAAAATGCCAGCTGAGTGAAGACTGAGACTGACAAAAATTGACTTTGAGTGCAGAAATCGGTGTTCATGAAAATTAATAGCCAGGCTCCCTCGCTACCATCTGGGCTGTGCCCTGCTAGAGCCCACGTGTAAGCAGCTATTGAGCCAGGTGAAGGAACCGTTCAGTAATGGCACAAAGGGGGAAAAAGTAACTTTGCTTTATGAGCTGAATGTGAGTCACAGGGCCAGGAAGGGTTTCTGTAGAGGCTCCGCTGAACTAATATTCACTTCAGCACCATGCTCTCACTGTGATCTACAGCTACTGGCAAAAGAAAAAGGGACTGAAAGCAAAGGAGAAAGATAAAAATACATTCTTGGCAGAAGCTGTCTGTGTGCTTTCATTTAGGATGGGCAGCGTGCTGCATGCCAACTATTTCCAAGATGCCGTAAGAAGTCAGGTTATGACTTTCCCTTCAGGAAGAAAAATTCCTTTTTCTATTTTTCTTTTGTTACTTCTGTGGAGGGGAGAAGTCACCTCATTTCTACCCTGCTGAGTGATCTTGGGTTAGGGCTGCTCCAGCACACACACACGCACAGGTCAGTGCGACAAAAAGAACAAGTATCATCATTGACATGAGAAGACTGCACAGAGCATCAGTCAAAACCTAGAGAATCAACAGAAAGCTATGGCTCAGGTCATTTCTGATCTAGTCTGTGGTAAAGATGTCATCACCCCAGCATTTTCATTACAGTGGTGGTCATATGGCCAGCTTCAGCTACACATCCACCACATCCATCCCTCATCCTAGCCTGCATTCACTGATGGGTACAAAGAATATGGGGCACCCTATAAAGGATCTCTGAAATCTCACAGCCTACTTGCCCTGTTAGTGAAACTATTATTTTATTGCCTGGAAGACACTAAAGATTTTTTAATTACTCTGACAGGATTTCAACATCATAGCACACTACCAAACAGAAAAGACAAAAGATTTGTGGTTAAAATGCTTAAATATGAAAATTCCTGTCAGTTTCAGAGTTAGTTAAGGAACATGCAGCACGGTATCTGTAAAATTACTAGTTGCATGTAATAAATAAGCTGGGAAGACAAATGAGATGCACAAATAGCAGCAATCATTGTTACAATTAAATTACATACAGACATTTTCCTCTCTGTGCTGTTATTACACCTTTTGAACCCTCTAGATAAGAGACTTAATTTTCATTTTCAAAAAAAGTTTAAGTACTTTTCTTATGACAATGCCAAAAACAATTCCAGTGTTCAAACACAGAACTCCAAGTCAGCCCTGTATTACTAACCAAGCCCATTAACAGTTGTACACTAAGCCACATGTGTAACGTAGACCATTCGGCTTTATCCATGCTTTTTTTTCCCCCTCCATTTTGCAATCTTACATCTATGGAAGATTCAAGGGTTAGATGATCCCTGCTGGTGGTTCGATTTATGAAGAAAGTAGTAAGCTCTTAAGTAGAGATTTTTTAACCTAGAGAGTGGCTGTCTTTCTAGCTAAAAAATGCACTGTAGGGTCTGTTTTTCTCTAGCCTCAGAAGTCTGGGATGGGCAGAACATGCAATCTGAGAGGGCTGTTTTAAATCTATCTTCTGAGTCTTCTTCAACCTCTGACCTCTCCATATCTCTGTTAAGAAATTGGGAGTTCTTCTCATCTGCTATTGCAACAACCATCTGGCAGGCCCCTGGAGCAAACGTGAAATATCTTTAAGAGGTTCAGTTCATCATTTGATCTTCGTAGAGTCTGGATTAGTCATTAACATTGAATTATCTATTCTACCTACTTGCCTAAGACTCCCACATTTTCTCTGAAAAAAAAAAAAAGAAAAAGAGTTTACAACACTATGTACACAAACCCAAAGGAGATGAAATGTCTGCAAATGACCAGTTGCAGCTAAAGATTTAGGAAAATATGCAGTGAAGAGGGTCCAGGCTGAAGGATGAGGTGGAGAAGTGCAATCAAAAGACACGTGGTCACTTTTCAGATCACAAAGTAATTGCATGTTCTAGGATAAATACTGCAGCTCATTAAGTTTCACCTGATTATTTCTGACTTGAGCCCTGCATAAGACTGGTGCCTGCAGGTTGGTTCTGGTCCACTAACAGAACACCCACCATATGTTTGCACACACGCTCACTGCCCCACAGGGGTTGTGTTACTTCTGTTCCCTCGCAAATGCTACACTGAAATTTCCTTGCTTTGGTAGTAATAGCTTGGACCAAAGATACATTTGTAATAACACTGATAATTCTATTTTTAGTAAACCTGGTTTTTGATTACTATTAGTTCAGAGCCTGCACCACCACTAAATTATCAGAAGACATTTGCTACTAAACAATATGTAGCTGATTTGAAAAATCACGTTACAGATACTAATCTAAAGCAGTGCAATTTGAACACTCCAACACTTTGTTGTTCACTTTTTGGTTCAATGTAGGTTGTTGAGTTACTGTACAGGGGGGGATAACTCCGTTTTTAATTAGAACTGGTTGTCTTTAGCTCCGGTCTTTGATGCAAAATCATGTTGAAGTTGCTGTTATTTTTCCAAGGCACCTGGATGAAATTGTGGCTCTACTGAAATCATGCACAGCTCTGACTAACATCACTGGGGCCAGCGTTTCACATGGAGTAAGTGCAGAAAGCAGAACAGGAAAAGATTTCCGAGAATCAGTCACATGAAACTGATCATCAGATATTTTTTGCTTGCATCTATCAAACTAAGTTCATACTTGAATGCATAGAGGGACGAAAGCACTGTTTACAAGCAGACCCGTGATTTCCACCAAATACATACGCTGTCATTGTATCTTCCTCTCTCTGCACACTTCTGAAACTCTCCACTACATCTCTGCTCTGCTGGGGTCAAAATAACCAGGTGAATGTTGATGGCTGGGAGCAGGTTGTGCCGCACCCAGTCACAGTTGTTGCACTGGGGTTTTTTTTTTTTGGAAAAAAAGTACCAGGAATCTAGTAGAATAATACAGCTGCTGATGTCGAAAGTAGGACTCCAAGACTAACATTCCTGTCTGATTGCCTTTATAAACAGTGCTCAGTAATTTTCCAGTACAGTAGTCATTCTGCAAGCAGACTTGCCAGCTTTTGCTCACACCGATTTCTTTTTTTCTCTAGTGATTATCATTTTGACAGCTTTATTTTTTTTAATTTCCCATTACAAAATTGATCAGAAGACACTGTCTTATAATTTACACGCACTTCAGGAAGCTGTTTTTTAATTTCTTCAAATCCAACTCTTTGATTCTCCCTCCTTTCTCCATCAGATGGAGCAGATCACTCTGTTTCCAAAATGTCAGTGTGGCATTAAAGTGACCAGTTGTCCTTGTCTGCAGCTGCCCCGCTGCGCTAAGGCACAAAATATCAGCATGTTAAGAGACCTTTGCAG